TCCATATTAATAGCCTCTATTAAGAGATTTTTACCCCTACGAGAGGCACTAGGCAGGGGTGTCCCGTCACCTCTCCTATTTGCGATTGCTATGGAACCTTTGGCTATCACCATTCATGCTAACTCACTTATTAAGGGAATTATCATCCATAATAAATCTTTTAAAATAAGCCTATTTGCTGTTGACACAGTCTTATATCTCACAGACCCACTGGAATCCTTAAAATTTGTTAATGAAGATCTATTCCACTTTGGCAAGATATCAGGGTTGCAAATCAATCAAAAGAAATCTGAAATTTACCCCACCTACATTTCTCCTGAACTCACAAACATTATTACAAAGCTTTATAATTTCAAATGGGTAACAAACACCTGGAGACATCTGGGGATTTTCACCCCTATTCAATTAAAAGACCTGTTTCAATACAATTTTGGTGAAACCTATAAATAAAACAATCAAAATTAAATTAGAAAAATTGCGTCAATTATCTTTTTCTTGGTAAGAGCGTATAGACCTAATTAAATCTTTCATTTTACCGAAATTTATTTTTCTGTTCCGCACACTGCCAATAACCATCCCTCTATGTGACATAAGGACATGGCAAAACACTCTTTTACAGTTCATATGGGATCATAAAAAATGTAGGATTAGCTTCTACACTCTTCGTAGGCTAGTTAAAGATGGTGGTATGGGTTTTCCAGACTTGTTGCTGTATCATGATGCAGCTTATCTTATGAATCTGATAAAAATGCTACATCCGGACACAGCACCAGACTGGACTTTAGTTGAACAAACTTCTTCTGATTCTCGGACTTTACAAGAACTAATCTGGAATCTGAATCAGGAATGACTTAAATCCTTAGATCAAAACCCCTTCCTGCTAAGATTAAAACTCAAATTTCTTTATGGAATAAAAACTCTTTTACCTGGTGCGACAGAATTTGTATAATGAGATCCTATATTCTTTCTAAATACCTATATTTGTTTCGTACTCTGCCGATATTTATTAATAAACAACAATTTAAGAAATGGCAGAAAGATATAAATCAACTTATATGGCAGTCTAAACCACCACACATTAAACATAACACCTTGCGAAGACCATGGATAAAAGGCGGGTTAGCCGTTCCAGACTTATTACTCTATTATGCCGCCACTAATTTACTCTGCCGTGTAGCAGAGTAGTATAAAAGTATTTACAGTTTTATTTACACTGGAGTATTTACAGTCTCTCTGAGTCCAAAATCGTGGTACTCTCTGACAAGGTGCTGCGCAGGCAACTGATCCCATAGAAGAGATGAACAGCACTGTTCAGCACTACATTTATATTTACAACAACCAATCACATAACAGCTATTTACATATTTGCCAAGTCATGGTGCTTCGTGCAAAGGCTGATGCAACCTCCCTGCAATCACCATGTCATGTGACCTACTGGCTGTCAACTTAGATCATCTAGATCTAGCATTCACTGTCACCTGGCAGACTGACAGCTTGCAGTTATAGTTTTATATACTGACAGTTTCCATGGTCATGTGGCCGGCATGACTAAACACCAAGGCGCACGGAATGCTGTTACCTTCCCACCGAAGTGGTACCTATTTATCTACTTGCAATTTCTTGCTTTCGAACTGCTAGGTTGGCAGGAGCTGGCTTTGAGCAATTCCATGCTGAAACAAACAAACAAACAAACAATTAGAGAAGAGAAAAGCAAAGGATCGCTTGAGTCTCTTTCTTTTGGTTATTCTCCCTTGGCCGTGGGCATCCATGGTGCTGATGGTGCTGGTAACTGGGGTTGGGCCACCTGCACCGGGCCACCTCTTTTAATAGAACAGACCTCATCTGCTGTCAGACTGGGTCAGGTTGGGGGAGAGCCGTCCCCACCTTTGGCATGTATACTAAACTATACTGCTTGCGGAAGTGCTGGCATTCATTCTGTCTGCCAGAACAAATAAAGTTATGTCATATATCCGGAGCTTTATAGTGCGGTGTGCAGACACAGCACATTGTGGAGTATGCGGTAGGTCATACACTGAATTCACACTGGGTAGCATATTGGGTTGCTAGCCCGAGGGGGTGGGGCATTGCTGGTGATGCAGTGATATCACTTCCAATGAAGTGACATCATTGCATAGGAGGCGGTCTGCCCGTATTTGCCCCAAACTCTGTGGCTTAACTATAGAGCTTGGAGCAAATGCCAGAGTGTTGCCCAGTGTGAAGACATCACTTTTGGGTCTCACCATCAGGGACATCATGGCATTGCCAGCAATGCCAATTGCCCTCGTTTCTCCTGGTATTTCCCCCTACTGACCAGCTGAGTGGTGGTGGGGAGAGCCACTGAGGTGTGTGTGAGAAATTTCCTGCCTAAGTGGGAGATCTGGACTCCCTATATAGCTATTAGGTGCAAAAAGAAGAAGAAGAGGAGGAGGAGGAGGAGATTGGATTTATACCCCACCTTTCACTACCTGAAGGAGTCTCAGAGCGGCGTACAATCTCCTTTCCCTTCTTCTCCCCCCTACAGACACCTTGTGAGGCAGGTGGGGCTGGGAGAGCTTTGAGAGAACGGCCCTTGAGAGAACTGCTCTTGAGAGAACTTGTGACTGACCCAAGACCACACCAGCAGCTGCATGTGGAGGAGTGGTTCAAACCCGGTTCTCCCAGGTTAGAGTCCGTGCTCACCACCAAACTGGTGTAGGCTCCAGTAAGGCTGGAGAACGCACTGTTTGAATTGCAGGAGTGGTGGTGGAAAGTGCCGTCAACTCACAGCTGACTTATGGAGACCTTGCCAGGTTTTCAAGGCAAGAGACAGACAGAGGTGGTTTGCCATACGCCTGCCTCTGCAGAGCAACCCTGGTATTCCTTGGAAGCCTCCCGTCCAAATACTAGGCAGGGCAAGCCCTCTTTAGCTTCTGACATCTGATCAGATTGGGCCAGCTTGGGCTCCTCAGGTCAAACGGAAGGAGTATCAAGGTATCCAGAGGCCTCTGCTACACTCAATGGGCTCCATGGCAAGCAATTCAGATGGTAGCCCAGCTATTATTACATGGTCACACCGGTTCCATGAAAATGACTACCTTCAACTGTTAAGGCAGGGAATGGTTTTGGCACTAGCATCTCCCCCTGTGAGCTCCGGAGGGCTTTACGATCTGTCAGGGCCAGAGGTCATTTCGGGGGGGGAATGCGGGG